AAACTTCTTGAATTCAAGCATTTTTTGAGAAAACTGCAACATTTCCTTATCGATGGTTCACTTTCTAAAAAGGCCATTTAGTTCTCTTTGGAATGCTTGCTCATTTTGCTTCCGAAAAACATGCCAAACGGGACGGAAAATATGAAATTTTGCAATAATGTCACGCCACCCTTGCCCAAAACGACGATAATTTTTCTAATTTCATAGACAACAGAAGACTGTATTTTTTCTACATAATCCCCCCCCCCTTGAATTTAAAGCTTGATCCGCCCCTGCATATACAAGTTTCAAGCAATAATGAAAATCTGAATTCTTGAAGGGGCTCGAGTAATAATGGCATGCAGAGACACGCAAAAGGCAGCAGCTGCAGCTGACGACATTAAGTCTTCTTGCCAATCAACAGCCAAACTCGGAGAACTAGTGATAGAACCGTTGGACCTGACAAGTCTGCAATCAGTCCGCAATTGTGCTAATGCAATTTTGAGCAAGGAACCTTCAATTGATCTGCTGGTAAATAATGCTGGCATAATGACCTGCCCAGAAGGGACAACAAAGGATGGTTTTGAAACACAATTTGGGACTAATCATTTGGGACATTTCCTCTTTACGATGCTACTCTTGCCGAAAATTATTCAAAGCGACCGATCGAGAATAGTCACTTTGTCTTCTCTGGCCCATGATCGTAAGATGGTCTATAAATGTTTCGCCACAATTTGAATAACTCACTGACTCCTCTATTGCAGGAGGCACAATTGACTTTGATGACTTGAACTTCAAAACGCGACCGTACAATGCGGGGCAAGCTTATAGCCAGAGCAAATTATCCAATGTTCTTTTCAGCAGCGAACTGGCTAGAAGACTCAAGGGTAACTGAGTTATTTCGTTATCGTCGACAAATTAAAATACAATCCACTTACTTTTCCAGAAGCAAACATCAATAACGTCACAACCTATTGCTTGCACCCAGGAATAATTAGAACTGAGCTATCACGTCATCTGGGTTCCACTTATGGCTTTGTCGCATCGTTTCTATGGAGTATTCTCAGCTGGGCGTTTAAAACTCCTGAGCAAGGGGCCCAAACTACGATCTACTGCTCAGTAGATGAGAAATGCGCAAACGAATCTGGATTATACTACGCGGAGTGCGCTGTTAAAACTCCTTCGCTCGCAGCAAGTGATAAAGAACAAGCAAAAAGATTGTGGATTGAAAGCGTAAAACTAGTTGGCCTACCAAAAAATTTTAACCCATTTAAAAAAACTTAAGTTTTATATATTTGTAACCTTTTTTTATATAAAATGGAAACACTATGTACACTTACCTATAATACTAATAAAGATTATTATTCTTCATTAATTTATTTAAATACGCTCCTCCACTTTGTTTTTCGAAAATCCTTCAAGGCGCTAAATGTAAATTTTCAAACTGCCTGCGAAAGCTGTCAACATCCTAGGAAGCAAAAATATCTGGGCTACCGTTAGACACAAGCATAGTTTGATAATCTGTGGACAGAAGTGTCAAGAAGAAGCTCAAATAATCAGGATTTGTTCACACAACAAACCAGTAAAATGTCGATTTATTTCAGTGGATCCTTTACCAGATCTGGTGGCGTGATTAGCGCCATAATTAAGCAGCTGAAACTGGTCAACCTGAAGCCGGTAAAGAGAATCAAAGTGAAATTTGACCCATTTCACCCGAAAGCCGTAGTGGCCAGGTAACCACAACCTCAAAAAACCATTGATTTATCCAGACTCGCCCAAGTCTATTTATAAAGCCCTATTAAACTGTTCCAGGGACTTTCTCTTTCATCTTAATGCGCCTCGTGTGCAGGAAACCAACCTAAATTGTCCTATTCGAGCAGATGTGGTCTGTGATCGCAGTGAGCCGGAAATTCAGCTCGATTTAGTTGAATCTGGGTAGGTTTCGGCTGACTGTAAAACCCTTGAAAGCTAATTTCGTGCAATTTTAGGAGCATAAAGTTTCTACTCAATAACTTGACTGTGTTGGAAATTCTACAGCAAATTAACGTTCATATTAGCTCCAAAGTCAAAGTCGAAGAAGTCCCAGGGCCGGAATTAAAGTCAACCAAAACAAAGCACAGGAGGTAGCATGGGGTCGAAAGACACGGCTGCAAGAGAAAGAGGCGTCCATGCATTTTACAGTCAACTACCAGCTTTTACGGATGTATTTGATGAGGAATCATTCTATATATTTGCGTACTGCATGGTCTGTACCACACTTGTTATAGTGTTCATCCTATCCAGATTTATTACGATTAAACCTGTAGACTAATCAATAAACTTAGTTTATGTTTGAGCTCTTTGATGGTTTATTTCGGATTAGAGTGTTCGTAGTAGTTGAAAACCGAAGGCTGCGGACATCGGTATTTCAAGATCTCCACCTCTGCCTCAAAGTAGCTGTTTTTGTCATAGCAGAAGTACTCGGGGTTCGGGTAGTTTGAGCTTTTACTTGCACCTGCGAAAGGAGTGGTTGAATCTTTGCAAACGACCCAAGGGCTTTATTTACCTGGACCTACAGGCTCTTTGGGCACTTTTACCACATTTTCACTCAGCCCCTGTACATTCGACTCAGGCGATTTTGAGCTCGAAGCTCCAGAAGATTTGGCAAAAATGATTTTCCCTCCTGTTAGGGTTCTTTTGCTAGATGAAAAGTATCTCACTTTGGAAAAAGCTAAGATTTTGCCTGCTGTAGACATTTTGCTTGGTTATGTTATGTAATAACTGTAATTGTCTTTGGTTTCTGAAATGCACAGATCACCTTTAATTTATGCTCTATGAAAATATGTGACCTTGAAACTAGAGTCCCAACTTCAGGATACTCTCCAGCCTATGGTGTTGCCAAGTTTACAGTACGCAAGTCTAAAATTTTATGTGCGTATCCGCGATACGCACGCATACCAACGTTTCTCTACATCTCCGTTCTCGATTTTCATAATCAATCCTAGTTATTTAAGTTTTAATAAGATGCCCATGCTAGCAACTTGTCTTTATCTATGGCAAGCAGCTAGCATGGAGACAATGCGATGCTATGGCAAACGGGTGCTTTATCTGACAAATCCTTAGAGAGGGCTACACGTTTTAAAGGATAACTCGTAGTACAAAAAGGGAGTTTTTTAGTTGGTAAGAATTCAACACTACCTAGAGTTCGGAACACTGGGTGTCTTCGCGAAGATTTTTTATTTCTCCGGCCACCGGGCAAACAAAAAAAAATAAGTATCGCATTGCGATGGACACATACGATTTTTGACGTGTCAGAAACAAGTCTTCAAGACTTGTCTCTGGTACCTTCTTACTATAGTCTATAGTATTTGCTGTTATCCACTACTATCCTACTGTATGGTTATTTTATGGGCTCTAATTCCATTGTTAATTTTTGTATATCAAAAATTTGGCAGGAGGCATTGGGAATTAAATTTTCGGGTCTTACGCTGCAAAATTACAGGTTATGCAATAATCACTTTTCGGAAAGTTGTTATGCAAATTCTAAGGATTTGAGACTTGTTCGTAACGCAGTTCCAAATAGATTTATTGAAATTGAGTGTACCGGGGGGGAAAGCTCTATGGAAAATGTAGCACCAGTTATTCCTGATAATTGGGTGGAAAATGTTCCATTAACTACATGTAAGTATATACAAACTAACATTATTTGTAAATAGAGTTCCTGTGTTATATTTTTAGGTGATATGACTGATAAATGCCAGCCAGGCACATCGAATCAACCTCCAGTAACTCCTACTAGAAAGTTGTTTCGAAGTGTTGAAGGGTTGAGCAATATAGAAAATTCCCCAAAGAAATTAAAAATAATTCGCATAATCAACCGAAAAGAAAATCAGTTGAGAAAAGTGAAACGTTTGTGTAAGAAGAGAGGCAATGACATTAAAGCTTTGGCAAATTTATCGGAGTCAGCTGTAGTTCACGGATTGTTTCAAGACATGTCATCATTGACCTCAAATTTTCTGTTGGCTCAAATTAGATGCTCAAAAAGCAAAGGGTCGAAAGAAAGAAGATGGACTTTTGATGATAAAGTTATGGCTCTTGCTATTTATAAAAAAAGTCCTAAATGCTACCGAATGCTCCAAAAATTTGTATGGTTACCTAGCAAAAATTTTTTTTGTCTGGCTACTTTTGTCAATGCTGGGAAAAGTTCCATTTCATGTTGGGATTAACAAACATCTGTTCTCGCATATAAATGAATCGATTGAAGCTTCTGCAGACAGATGTTGCGTTCTTCTATTCGATGAGATGGATATTCAGGAGAACATTGAATATGATCTTGGCAGCGACAACAGTCTCGGATTCGAAGATTTTGGTGGAAGAACATCTAGTAAACCCGCCAATAAAGCCTTATTGTTTATGCTAGTAGGGCTAGCAAAAAATTGGAAGCAACCCGTAGCATACTTCTTTGCAAACAATGGGTGTAATGCGAACAATTTGGAACATTGCTTGTTTTGTTCTTAAAGCGGCGAAAAATATTGCAAAAGTTGAGGTCGTGGCTACAGTTTGTGATATGGGAGCATCTAATGTAAAATGCATGAAAAACTTAGGTGTTACTGTAGAGAGGCCTTTTTTCAAGCATGGTGACAATATCATCTTTGCGATGTTTGACCCACCTCATTTACTGAAATGTTATTTTTCTCTATTTCGAAAGCATAATGTTTTGTTGAAGGTTGGTCAAAATGAAGCAGAGATAGAAGCTAGATTTTCTGATATTGTTGCTGCGTATGAGATGGATGAGAAATGTCCATATTCATTCAGGTCTATGCACAAAGTTACAGACAATCATTTGCAGCCCGTAATGCAGTATACTATGAAAGTGTCTGTAGCTGACCAAGTGCTAAGCCACAC